TGAATGTGGTGTAGAATATTTGAAAAAAAAAATCCTTTTCCTTCTCCTTTTATTTTCTCTTCAGATAATCTTACATTCAATGCATAAGTACCAGCCCCGTGTTCATGTCATCCGCAAGGATTTCAGCAGTGATCTTTCTCCTACAAAGCCAGTTCCTTCAGGAGATGGGGTGAAGACCTTCAACTTCCCTGAGACTGTCTTCACCACAGTGACAGCCTACCAAAATCAACAGGTAAAGCTGTGTGCCCTCAGGCTCCTTTTATGTTAGGTGCTCATAAATGTAGAAGTGTGCTCTTTGTGTTTGACTTAAACTTTTCTAAGAAACATAGCTCAAGAACAGTGTGTGCTTTACAGGCTCACTGTTTTTTTCTGCGCAAAAAGAAAATGCTTGCTGTGGGGTAGTGTGTAGACATGAGGTATCTAGCCAGAAAAGCACCTTACAGAAAAGTGCCTGCAGTTTTTACTGTAAAGTAAGTAGGTGAGATCAACCGTAAAGAGATGTATTGTGTTCGCGTTTCCTTGCTGCCTCATGGTACAAACTACAGTGTCCTGTCCCCACTGTAATTTTAAGTCAGTACAACCAGTCCAGATCTGTTATCTCACAGGGAAAACTCATAGTAGTGTTTTTTGTGGGTTTTTTTTTTTTTTAAGCAATGAAGGAAAAAGTTTGAGAAGCACAATCTCATCAGTTTGCTGACAAAAGAAGCCTTTGAACATAAGCAGTAGCAGTCCATGTATTGCATATGAACTGAAATTCTCATGCATAATTCACATTTGATTCAGATGTTGCACAGTTCCTGATGGAGAGTGTTAATATTGACTCCAGATACCATAAGGAAAAGATGTTGCCGCAGTGGGATCCTATCTGTAGGGACCTTGATTTTGTTACTGATCTCCCCTTTTTCTTAAATCAGACTTCATGGCACTAACAAAGGTAATCTCAGTACACACTGGTGTTTGTTTACAGAATTCCCTCTCTATCCTTATTTTCCCCAAAGATATGATATCTTTAAGAGGAAATTACTTGCTAGGAAAATGTGAGCATTTGAGAACCTTTGCTGGTGTCTCAAAAGCTTACAAAGGAGATTTGGAAAGGCCTCGCTGTGGATTACACACGTTTGCTCCCCCTTCTTCAGTGGCCACTGAAAAGACAGTGTCTTTGAGGAGGTGGCCTGCTTCATCACTTCTGCAGGCATGTTCATTGCACACATTGAGAGCTCTTTATATCCACCCATTCCCTTTGTAGTCTCCTTGTGTATTGCTCATCTGCCAGTTACCTCTGCCTCAGGGATTCCCATTAGGCTTCACGCCACTTCTGTCATGCTTTGGGCTCAATGTGCTCCTCTTCTCTCGTTCGTGTACACATACTCCCTATTTTATCCTCAGGTGAGAGGAACTGTGCACATCCCATTTCTCTTTCCTGCCATTCTCCTTCTTACTGGAGAGGGGGTTGTGATGGCATTAAAAGGGCTGTGTAAGGTAATTTTTGCCCAGCCATGTGAAAAGAATCTTAATTGGTAAAGCTTTTTGCTATGTTAATGTTGTGTCTGCTTAGAAAGTGCAAGGTACGGTTACAAGCTAGAAAGAGGGTACAAACCGGCTTGGAAGGAAAACAATCTGTTGTCAAGCCTGTCAGGGAAATAGGTTATACAATTTTTTGTGATAAATTGCAGAGGAGTCTTGAATCGGAAATGGTGAAGTAAATATTTTTTCCATGACAACACCTGTGCTTCTGGAGAATGACTTCATGAACTCAGTGGAAGTCACTATACTTAGTATTCTTGGACTGAGGGACAGACCCATGTCAAATCAGCTTAGGGAAGATTGTAATATTTAGCCAATTTGTAACAATTCTGAATTGTAACAATTTAGTGAATTGTTATAGAGTTTTTATTTTGCAACATGTAAGAGAGCATACATGCTAACAATACTCCCATGACTGCTTTTGGATACTCACTCCTAACGTTTTCTCAGTCTGGTCCACTTGAATTGACTTAAATCAGGATCCAAAATGGATCAACTATTCCAGCAGAAAAAAATATTGCAACACAGTGGTGGGTGTGCTGTCATTACAGCACTGGAAATTTCCTGGCCCCCTCACCCAAATGCATGTACTCCACAAACTTTTACCTGTAGACCAGACATGGAAAGAGGATAGAGAAAGGAGAAGAAATGACAGGAAATAAGCCTGTTGTTTTTCCCTAACGACCGGACCTATAAGACATAATTACACAGGTAAGGGAGATGCTAAGGGAGGGATCTTTGTCAGGCACTGGCACTGTAAGCCACCTCACTATAAAGCAGCATTGAAATTTCTTCCTGTCTCTCTGAATTTCAAACATTTGGGGGTTTTGTCCAAAAAAATTTGAGAAGGGGGGCATTTTTATAATACCAGTAAAGGAGATCCTGGTGGGTTGGAGAAACCTTTTCATTAAAAATAAATTTAAATCCCCTGAATCTGCCTGCATGCCCTCCAGTGGCTGTAAAACTTTGCCTTGCTGGGAGAAGCATCTCTGGAAACAATTGTAAAATGTTAGCAAATCCACCACAGGGATTCCCTCTGCTGTAATTCCATCCTCCACAGAACATATCTGTCTCTGTACACACAAGTCCCAGGACAGCTGCAAAGTCAGGCTAGCGGAAATTAAGTTCACAAATTAAGCTTCTGCAAAAATAGGAGCTGCATTCCAGATCTGAGGTTAATATCCAGAGTAAGGGCTTGGTTCTGACAGAAGCAAAACACCTGCAAATCCGCTTCAGATCAGTCTGTATTAAACTAGTCCCTTTTGAGCAGTTTCAGGAAAACCACCTCAAATTTGATAGGATCTGGAGATCTCACTACCTTTTCACTCTGGAGAGAGAGTCTCCGTGACAAGGTGAGGATGGCAGAGAGAATCTCTCTTGCTGCACCAGGCTGGGGAATAGCTGACAGGGAGTATGATACCACAAGCTGCAAGGTCAAGATCCCAATATTCTTTTCCATGTTTACCAACATGGAATTCATGCCTAAAAATAAAGCAGGAAGGAAGATTCCCCCAAAGCATTCAGTCTGGCTGTTGTCATCTTTGTTTAGAGGAGGTGAAAAGAGAGGGAAAAAAAAAAAGGTTTCCAGACCAGAAAACCCTTGAAGGGCCACCCAGATGCTGACCAGAACAGCAGCACCTTCTGGATGTGGCCAGGTGGCCAGCTGCTGTCTTTGAAGGCTGTAGCCTGTGCTTTGCTTGGCCTTTTCTCCTTAGCATTGTTTGAAGGTCCATGAGTGCATCCAGCTGCTGGATATCTAGAGTGTTGAGGCTGGGATAACCCAGATACCAGCCAAACCTGAGCAGTATGTCTGCTTCCTGAACCACATGGCCATTGATAAGTTGTAGCTCCTGGGGTTTTGCACCTCGGTCCAAGGTGTGCTTCTGCTTCGGGAACAGCTTCTCAGCCCCAGCGCTGTGCCAGGTTTCCCAATGCTGCCAGGTTTCTGCCTCTAGCACCGTTCATTTGCTAAGCAGATAATCTGTTCATGGGTAACAGAAGGGCAAGTTTGGGGAAATGAATATGAAAGATTGTCGTACAGGTGATTTGGGCAAGAGTGGTAATCATCAGTAATTTTCATTTGCTGAAAGAAGAAAAAAAAACAGGAGATATCAACTAATTCTCTTTTTCTTCCTTTGTAGATCACCAGATTAAAAATTGACAGAAACCCCTTCGCTAAAGGTTTCAGAGATTCTGGGAGAAACAGGTAACAGGAGCTTGTTTGTGTTTCCTCACTGACCTCTTCTTTCCTTCCCCTGATAGGTGCACAGGGCATGCGTCTAAGGCAGTGGAAGGCATTTTGTGATCCTAATTAATTTTTACAGGAGAAGTTTGCTGTAGAGTAGTTCTTAGAGGAATTAGAAGGACTGTTTTACTTTGCCTAAATAGATCCAATGTATAATGATGAATTCCTTAGAACATACTTTCTAGATTAGGCAGCTAGACTGACTCTGCCATTCATGAATCCAGCAGTGTGCAGCAGATCTTAATATTTCAGATCTAAATGACATGGGTATCCTTTAAATCAGTTTGACAAAGGCTTTAAACATTGAATTAATTATCGAATTAGACATATATGACTATGTTACAAGAACCCTATGGCTGTAAAGCGAGGCTCTGAGTGTGCAGACCAGAGTGAAAGTCATGTGTATAGCTCTCATTTGCTGTCCCCATGGGCACTGTAATTCAGTTTTTACTTGCATGCTCCTCTTGTGTGTGTTCACCAGGACCGCTAGCTCATTCACGGTTTGGCATGAGAAGTGTTCAGTGAACAGGCAACTGCCCCATGTTTCCCATCACCCGTTTAAATGCTACACTCCCCATGATCACAAAGAAGACATCTTATTCACCTAGTGACTTCCTAGCTTAGCTCCTCTATTCTTGTCTTACTGTAGCTATGCAAAAAGATGTTACTGCCTTTATTTAATTCCCACTGTGAGCATTAGTTCTGATACTTGAGGCATATGTGACTTTTACCCTGCTCTCCTCTCCTGCGTGGGGGAAGTGGTATGTGCCCTGGGTACAAGGTCTTCCCTGTGTGCAGAGATACAGCTGCACTGGAGGCTGGGCTTAGAAGAGGGATTGATGCAGTTCCAGGTACATGGTGGGCTAGATTAACGTGGAAGGCATTAATAAGGTCCTAGCCCAGTGAATTTGGACAGTTTCCTGAAAAGGTTGGGAATTACTGATCTTTGTAGCTCATTGATTTAAGAAAGGGCAGGAAATTGCTACATGGCTGCAGCTGTGGGGAGAGCTCAGTAAGGCTCTCTGCTGATGTAAAGAGGAATTAAAATCTTTAAGGTATTACACATCAAAGAGAGCAGCCTGAGGCTTTAGGAAGAAAAAACAGGCAAAGGTATTTGCAAGCATATATAGCAGTCAGGCGCCTGCCTCACAAGCAGTGGTCTGGCTAAGGTTGCACCGCTATTATCAACTAGCAGAGGACACTAATGTTCAGCTGCTCCCTTTAAAAAGGACATGTACACAGATGTACACATAGGAGGGAGAAAAGCATTAAGGTCCAAGCTGTGTGTGGAAAGGACTTTCCGAATGGGACTGAACTGTGTTGGGTGTCTCCTCTTCCCCTCACGACTTTCTAATCTCATCAGGATCACTGGTCAACTGAAGTGCTGACTGTGGTGCCGTCTAGCTGCCTATATCCCCACAACAACTGCAGTCAGCTACGGTGCATCAGGCTGTAGTTGGAGAATGTCCCACTGGAAATGTAGGCCTCCTTTGAAAAAGAAACAGGATAATTTGAAAAAGAGGCCATTTGTGAAGCAGGCAAGTGTAGTATATGGCCAAGAGGTTTTCTGTGTAAGATCTTAAAAAAAAATAAAATAGTGTCGCAGCAGCAGAGGCCACAGAATGTCTGAGGCTGCTCCAGGACATCGTATCCCAGCAACATTGGGATACTGAATTGGAGCCATGGACAGAGTTTGCCAGCAAATGATGGAGGAAAAAAACCCCAAACACTGGAAAAAACAGAGCATGGTGGGAGAAGATGAACTCTTAGGCCACTTCTTCCTTAGGACATTTCATTTCTGATTTCTGTTGAGCCTTTTCCATCAAATGGAGACGGATGGGTTTCCTTCACTTATTTCTTATTTTGATATTGTTTCACTGTTGTTGCCTGCTGCAGAAATTATGGAGTTGACTTGGTTTTAAAACTAGTTTCCCTTTTAAATCTTTCACTTCTGTCAGCTCACAGCCTTCCAATATGTTTCCTATGAGTGTGCTCTGCCTTCGTTAGTACAAAAGACTGCTAGAGTCCTGGTGCCCTGGGGACACTCCATCACGATGTAACCGCCTGTATCCATCTGGGGGAGCGACCTTTTCACGATCCCTTCTTGGATCTCTTTCAGTTGCTTGCATGGTTGTCTCCCTTCACAGCTGACTGCCTCAGTCCTTGTGCTGGGAGAAGGAGCAGTGAGGTATTTCAGAAGGAAGGATGCAAACAGCTCAGCAGCTGGATGTTGTTTTGCAGTCTTGGAGACTCAAGCCATGTTAACTAATGGTGTTCAGAAATCCAGCCATCAGCCTTCGGGAGTTAGGGAGTTAAGCTGTGTTAGAAGGCTGAGTCTTAGTTCTCTCTTACTAGAGATTCCCTCTACGTGATTTTTGTTCCTTCTTTGCTTTGGCTGCAAAAGCACCTGAAGCATCTATAAAAGTGAAACAAGAGAACCGATCCTGTTGGTGAAAGGATACCTACGTATTGTATGTACAAAGCAGGTATTACTTGGTTGCTTTCCTAAACTTCAAAAGATTGAGAACCAGAGTTTTTGACATATGGAGCTTGGCTAGCCAAATGTTTGGCAGCAAGGGTGCAGGTTTAATGCCACAGAGCCTATTTTTGGAGACTGAGTAAAGTTCATTTGACAGTGGGATGCTTGGGGGAGCTCCTTATCCAGGAGGAAGCCAGAAGGGACAACAGTCAGGAAACCCAGCAGGGTGAGGGAAGAAAAAAAACCCTAAGCTGAAGGCAAGCAACAGCACTTTACTTTCAGATGTGGGCAGCTGAGGTGGATAAAAGTTGTTTGTGTTGGAAATGCTCTTTGAGCTTTTGTCTAGGGTAAGAGAGCCAGGAGGGTGGTTGGAGCCAATAGTTTGGCTTTCCCCAGTGAACAATGAAATGATGACCTGAATCCTGTGTGCAGCGGGAATGGCAAGGTCAGCCATATGGGATGGATTATGGAGGTGCATAGATAGCTCATACATCTTTTTTCATTTTTCAGACAATGGAACTGTTTCATTTATTGCCTATTATTAAAACTTTATAGCACTAAAAATAAAAAAAATGAATGAAAAAGAGCGAATTTTGGATACCTTTTAAAGGACTGACCTTATTAAAATAAAGCTGGCAGTGAGTCCTCTTCTGATACTTTTTTTTACTTCCTTCATAAAGATGGTGTGAGGGGGGAGGGTTTATGGCCTGATAGACAGTTTGAAGTCCATTTTTCAGTGCAGTTCTTTGGAAGAGAAAGTGGGTGCCACATGGATAATGTTCATCACACTTGGTACCAGCAGCCCTCACCAAAGCCCAAAAGAAGTTGCTGAGATTTCAGAAATCCTGAAAATAACTTTTTTTTGTCAGCATTTATTGGTGTCCCAAAATGTCTCTTCATTGGGGTTTGTTTTCTCTGTTAGGGGCTGGAACACACACAGAATAGCACTCCAGTATTTCTGCTGACTCAGAGAGCATTACCTTCCTGTCCTGTGGTGGAGGTCTGTGATGTGGCTCTGGATATCTTGGTACCACACTAATGTCATAAACTGCTATGGGAGAGAGGGTTGTTAGAGCTGACACTTGGTTCCCACCTCCTCACCCCACCATTTTTTTACAAAAATAAGAATACATCACAGGAAAAAGAAAAAAAAATACATCGAAAGGTTACGGATAGAGCTATAAATCAGTCATGCAAAGGTGGTGTACATTCTGACTCAAGCTGTGTTTGCATGGTTGCATTTGTTTTTCTGCAGTAGTCCATACATGGGGTGGTAGGTGTCTAGCAGGTTTGCACAAATAGCTGCTGTCTCCTGGATCTTGTCTGATGCACGGAAGAATCTGAAAGTTCAGTAAGGATGTGTTCTGCTTAGATACTATTTCAGAAACACCCACAACATTTGTTCTGCACAAAGATAAAAATCCCCCTACAAACCCAAACCAGGAAAAAAAAAGGATGATCTAGTATATGGGGACGTAAATTTGTGTATAGGAGAACTGGCCATAACTTTGAGCTCTGTCACCCACATACTTAGAGAGGGTGTTTTACAATGCACGTTCAACGTGTGCACAGCTCTGGAGGAGTAAAGGACTCATTCAGGGCAGGAAGAGGAAAGAGCTGAAAGATGTAGCTTTAAGCCAACTGTGGACTTTGGCATCCATTCTTCAGGTGCGTGTGGCCGCAGTGCTGCCCGGAGCACTACACGGCAGTCTCTAAATCTGGTGTTGCTGCCAGTAGTTGCAGTGTGGAGAGGGGAGGGTGACAGGAGCTGTGTCCACAGCAAAGGGACTGTTCTAGACCTGCTCCCCTGGAGCAGCAGGAGGTGGGTCCTTGGTGGCATCCCTCCTTTCCCTGCCATACAGGGCAGGAATAGAGCAGCTTTGCAAGCTGCTCTGGTACACTCAGTGCTGCCATTTACCCTCTGTCAGCTCACAGGCACAGTGGAGTCCAACCCTTGAAAGCAGTGTATTATTCCTGATTTACTCTTTTATTTCTTTTTATTATCTCCTGGCCATTCTCTTTTTTCCTTTTCTTTTAGAAGTACAAATTATACAGTACTTGCGAGAGCTGTATTGATACAGGGGAAAGTGGTAGATGGAGAGCTAGAAACTTTGAACAGTGAGTTAAGCTGAGCTGAGAATGATGTAGGCTCCAGGCAGAGGCAGGGGTAATAGCTTTAACCTGCATTGACTGTTTCCCTGAGCCACCTTCTGATAGGGGCTGGATTTTACTGTAACAGAGTCATGAGAGCAGAGCTGGAAGTTAGATGCTGGTGCAGAGTTGGGTTATGTGCACAGGGATCTAATGACTGAGCCAGACTCTGTGAATACTGATTTTAGTGAGCTGGCCTCCCTGCTTCCCGGCACGATCCTTGTAGCAGACGCAGAGCAGCTGGATTAGCACAGCTGGAACTTTCAGTCTGTCTTTCTGGATGTATTACTTGGTTTTAATCATCAAGGCAGATCCTTTCAACAGCAGGTCTTCTTGCATTGCAACTTGCTCAGTGCATTTTATGCCCCTTGGGTATACAGTACCAGAAAGTCCTCCCTCGATGTTTGGGCTTCGTTTCATGAGGCTGCAAAAAGGTACCGTTCTCTTCCCGGCTGTGTGTGTTGAGAAGCAGATGGAGTCTGTACATGTGTGGCTTTCTCACATAGGGAGTGGAGGAAATTCTGGGGGTGGTACCGGTAGTCGAAGAGCTGCTTTTGCACACAGAGCCCAGCTTTGCAGATGGGTTCACATTCTGCGCTGCCTTGTTGTCTCTGAGCTCCATGAGCTGGCAAAGGCCACTGTATTAACCAAATAGTTTTGTTGTAATATGCTCAGCACTAGTGTGAGACTGCTATGCAGAGATGTCTTCTGTTTCTACTTCTAACAGCTTAGCAGCTAATAAACACCATGCAACAACCTCTCTTCTAAACCTCCTCTTAAAATACAGAGTTTAGTTTGCCAACTCCAATGTATTTAAAGCATCCGAGCTTCCGGGGAGACTTTGGAAAGTTAACTGAGTGAGTGGAGGCACGTGCAGAAAGACATTTTCAGAAGCAAAAGGCAGCTCCAGTATCAGGTCGATGTTTGATGAGAGGCTCTGGGGACGTTAAAGCCTTTTGCACTGAAAGGGGATATGTTCTCGCATTTGACGAAGCATCTCTAGTCGTGTTGTCAGTGTGAGGGCTGTAACCTACTGCTGGAAAAGAGGCAGGGGAAGGCAAGGAATGGAGAACAGAGCAATGTGCAGCTTCCACAGAGGAGAGCCTTTCCTGGGAAGAAACTCCAGGGGGTTGTCTCATAAAGAACATGGAAGTCTTTTCCTGATGATGCACCTATGTCCTCATGGAGCTTGTGGAGTTAGAGACTTTCAGCAGAACTAGCATTCTGTGCTGAAAATAAGAACAAATCTGAGACCCCAGCCCTTCAAAAGGAAAAGTTCTCACTTGATTTTGGCTTTTTCTCTTTGGTAGAAATGTTCTCACTTGATTTTGGCTTTTTGTCTTTGGTACTGTCATTGCAGTGAGTTAGGGACCCAAAGCAGTGATGCTACTGATCTTTTGTAAAAAGCCTCTTACACATTTCTAGTTGAAGTCCAAAACCAAAGAGATTCCCTTTTTTGATGGCTTCCCATAGCACTTCAGAACAGTGTCCAGAACTACAAAGTGGCAGGGAAAAGCAATTCACAAAATCTCTCTGATTCTGTAGGCTGAATCCCAGACCTCCCTTGTTTGCATGACAGTTTGTATCCGCAAAGTGTGGAAGCCTGCTCTGTGATAAAACATGCCTTGAGTTGCTGACAGTCATGTGTCCCCTGCAAAGCAGACAGGAAGTTTGGGATCCTTGTTAAAAAAGAAAAAGGCACTGAGGGATTGTTAGGAGCTTTTGAAATCCTGGGCTGGGGAAATTTCATTTTACTCTGGTGGCCAGCACCTGTGTGGGAAGGCTCACTTGAGGAATTCACAGATGCCAAGGTGACCTTTCGCTGGCCACTGGCAGCCTGTCAAATGAGGTCAAAGCCCTCTTCCCCCAGCACCGATACCCTCACCAGCTGACTAACATTCTTTTCTTGTTTTATTTTCGTTGCACAGGACGGGGCTGGAGGCCATTATGGAGACCTATGCTTTCTGGAGGCCCCCCGTGCGCACTCTCACCTTTGAAGACTTCACTACCATGCAGAAGCAACAAGGTGAGCATACAAAGGGCATGCAAAGAGCTATAGCAAGAGCAGGAGAAGAGGGTGTAAGAGCAGCAATGTGCTCTGCTGTGGGTCCTGGGGCTGGGATGGGGTTGTCACACACCTTGTTGAGCTCTTGACTGCTGTGAAAGGACTGAGAGCAGAGAGAATGGATGGAAACAGTGGACAGGCCGTGCCTTATGAGGTGCAATGGAGCCGCTTCATCTCCCTGGTGTCCCCAGTGCTAGAGCTAGAGTCCTAAGAGCTAGAAGGAGGAGCAAGAAGGGGTACCGGGTTAGGCGAACCAGCCCAAGTACATGGAATGAGTTAAGTGTGAAGAGAGCACAGAGAGACTGAGGAAATGCTCCAGCATGTCAGACGTGTTGTTCTCCATTTACAGTTAACATTTGCCATTTGTGTGGAAACACAAGGGGAAGGGGTATATGGAAGATTTAGGAGACTAGACACGTGCCTCTCCCCAGGATCACACTGCCTTTCTTGCAAAACCCGGTGGCCTTGCTGGAGAGGCTTTCTATTAGTGTGTTTCTGGGAGGAATGATTGGGTAGGCCAAGTGTTTTCTGCTTGTTCATGCTGTGTCTTTTCATAGCTTCTGCCCTTTACATCTCTCATTTGCTAAGTAGGGCTTTCATCTCTAGTTTCAGGCTGCATTACTATTTTCTTTTTGCAGGGATAGGACTTCCCCATTCACTTCATTGCAGCTATTTCTAGTTACAAACATGGTGATCACTGGGAATAGAGGTATCAGGGCAACCTGGTACATTTTTTATTCCAATATATATGTAAGAAAAGAAACAATCCAAAACCCTGTTCAGATGTGACATCTATAAGCTTAAACAATCAAAACCAAATGCACACCCTGTGTAGCAGATTCTCCAGCCTCTCACACCTGAGCTTGACATCACCCCAAAACTTCCCTCTAGGCTGTGAATCCATCTGGGGATGGTGTGGTCTCCTCCAGAGGGAGGGGAGCATCAGTGGCTGCCAGTGCAGCCTATCACTGGACAGAATCAGAAGGGGATCCAGTCCAGGAATCTCTTCTGGCCATCAACCCCCCACCTCAGTTCCCCATGCAACACCCCCGAGCCTGGGTCACCTGCTAAATCATTTTTCTGCTGGCACAGCACCAGAGGAGGACAGAGCACACTCCTGTCAGCTGTGTTAGACTCCTCATGCATGGTCTTTACACAACCACCTGACCCTTCTTAAAAAGCGCAGCGTGAGACAGGAGAGGTTTTGCACAAGCTCAGGGGCTTGTGTCAAGGAGCACTTGTGGTGGGGCCTGCAGTCAGAGATGGGTTAAAGCAGGGATTCAGAAATGTTTTCATCACCTACCTAAATAGAAACATAACAGCCTCTCCTCCTGGTCACGGTCGCTGAAGCAGCCTCCCTCCTCTGTCTCACCCCCTTTTCGGGCTTGCACGCCTCCCTTCCCCTCCCCTCCCTTTGGTTATCAGATAACATCCTAGTGGCAAGTCCAGCTATTGCTTACGTGGTAAGGTAATATTAGGAAAGGAAAATATTTAATGTATTTTTAGCTTGTTTTAATATAGTTTGGCAGCTGAAGAATCAGGAAGCAAGCCAGTACCCCGTGACCAGCCGGCTCTGTGCAGACCACCACCACTGCACAACAGACCACTAGGCTTAGGGCAGCCCTTAACTAAAGTTATGTTCACAGGTTGGTCTCAAAACTTAATAACTCACTACAAAACAGTGCTCTTGAGCTCTGCGTTTAGCCATGGAAAATGATCTCAAGATAATGGTTCAGAAATATTCCCTCCATCATAGTGCTCACCTCTTCAGTGGTTGCTGTAACAAGCTGACCCCTGGTCTCAGCAATAGGTGCAAAGCCAAGGTACAAACACACTATTTTAATTTCTGGCTGTCGGGACAGCCCCCAAGGGCCAGCACAAATATGCTGGTCTGGAGGCCTTGGAATTGCTGGCAGAAAGAGCAAGAAATGCTGAGGTGGCTTTAAGCCACATGTGATTCTTCCTTCTGAATGTAAGATAACGAGAATGTACAGTGCCCATACCTCTTCATCTCCTTGCTTTTGAGCACATGAACTGTGTGACAGGTGAGTAAATCACTGGTATTTAACAGCTGATTTCAGCATAAATTATTGCACCTCAGATCCTCTGAGCCTTAGCCAATCTTTTCATGTGACTTGCCTGAGACTCTACTCCTGTCTCGCACCTGAAGCTTCAGTGCTCTGAGCTGCATGCTGTTATCTCATACCCTTGTATATTTATGAATTAGAAGTTCTCAGGGTATTATTTAAATAAACAGACACTGTAATTCTAGATCACGCTGTTGTCTCCAAAGCTGGGTGAATATATGGCATTTCTGAATAAACATTTAAGGGATTGCAAGCCTCCATTTTATCCCTTAAATTGTTAGCTGGGAAACTGCACTGGGGCTACAAGAGACTTTTGGGACCAGATGTGTCCACTGCAGCTTAAGAGGAGTGCGTACTTACTGCAGAGAGACAAGATGAAAGCAGTAAAAGTGGCCAGATGCCTAGGAAGAAACATCATCGATAAGGAGCGAGTTATGATTGTTCAGCCTGGTGAGGAGGGAGAGAGTACATAATAGTACTGAAATAAGATACTGTCTGTGGTGGATAGGAAAAAAGCAATAGACTCCAGTTGTGTGAAGTCTAGTGAAGTACTGGAACAGATCCCCTGTAGGAACTGTGGAATTCAATGTTGATTTTCTTGAGAAAAGTCCCCCTTGCTGTGCTAGGAAAAATGATGCTTTCTAGGGCAGAAGTTTGGGACTTCAGCAGCATAAATATGGTGCCTTTGGTGCTTTCCAGCTAGACTTTTCTGTGCTATGGATTGCTATGGATTCTTAGCTTTTCTTTTGTCACTTGGTAATTTTTCATTAAATAAAAGTATTATCTGCCTTTTCCAAAACAGTTTTCTCAAACAAATCCAACTGAATTATTTGGTTAGTTTAGAGATTTAACTAATAGAAATAGCTGTATAGGTGTGATGGATTTTTGGAGAGCATTTGACTTATTGCCACATGTGTCAGCTTGGAAAAGTTAGCATTAGCGTGTATTAAGAAATGAGTTGCTGACTGATCTCAAAGCTGATGTGATAACTGTGAATATACCATTCAGTGAGGACAGTCCCAGTGATGCTCTGCAGAGACTGGTTTCAGTACTAACTTGTCCAGAACTAAATGAAACAGTGCAGTTGCTAAAAGGTACAGATCTCATGAAGACTGCAAAGTGGTCACTAATGCTGGGAACAAAGGTATGAAGGACAATAGAGATTGCTTGGTAACCTGCATGCATTCAAACAAAGCGTGGCTTTTAGTTCAGCCAGATACAATATCATATGTCTAGAAACAAAACGTAGGACATACATAACCAGTGCGTGTGCTGGAAAGTGTTGGCACTGACAAGAATTTGGAGGTCTCAGTGGATAAGCCACTGCACAGGCAAGGGACAGTGTTAGTAATACTGTGATAAAAAGAGGCATGCAATCTTTGGTGTAGAAAAAAAATAGTGGTAAGCAGGCAATTTCCTAGTTGCAAACTGACACTACAATACGGTCTTCTACTGTATGTATTTTTAAAGAGTGGAAAGACGTTGAAGAGGATTCAGGGGAAAAAAAGTAGAATGATTTGTTGGATGGAGAAGATGCCTGGAGAATGAAAACTCAGTTTGCATAGTTAATCAAAAAGAAGATCAAGTACCAAACCTTTACAGCCTATACTATCTTGCAGAGAGAAGAATATGTGGTAGCTTTGTGTCATGCATCCATGATAGACTCTTGTGGCTGCAATTTCCGTGTTTTTATGACAGAACTGTATGGAACACACTTCTTTCAAAAGGCCTTGATTTTTCTACTCTAACTGAATGTTCATCCCTTTTTGTGGGATGTTAAGAGATAAAGAGAACAGAAGTTCTCCTTCATCCACCTTCTTCATACATTTAATTGTTTTACAGTTTTTTTGTGTCCCTCTTCTGTGCTTCTCACAGTGAATAGCACCAGTCATTTAATTTCTCTTCAAGTGGGAAGTTTTCCAGGTCCTTAATCGTTTCTTTAAAAACAAGTCTGCACAGAGTATTCCAGATGCATTCACATGATACAATTATCTAAAGGTATTATAATTTTTTCCACATTATCCTTTCTGCCATTCAACATACATGCTAGTGCTTTGCTCATTTGTTTGGCCCAAGCTGTATGTTGAGCAAGGGCCACAGTGACACAACAAATCCATGCTCAGTGGGTTGGATGCAGCTGTTTCATACAGGGATTAAATAACTTTCTAATCTACACAATGATAGGTTTCAGCTGCCACACAAACTAGAGAGCCTGATATCACGACCAGTCACACAGGTGCTGGTGTGGCTGACTAGCAGTCTACAAGCTTTATTTCCACATGTCGCTGTTGAAGTAAAGCACATCAGTAAGTCTCTGCAGGTCTGTGACCTGAGTGGTCACCGTATTGTCCTACCAAGGAGAAGAACATGCTGTTTCTGTCAGTGAAACCCTCTCTTTTGGAGCAAAACCTCTCTTTTGGAGTACACAATCTAAAAGTGATTGCAGCTTTACAAGGGCAAGCACCATGTTTGACAACAATCACTGCAGATCTGCAGCCAGTTTGGAAAAAAAGTCCCCCCGAACAAAACCTTTGCAAGAAATGCTCAGAAAATGGCAGTCCAGGAGAGGCTGACCTTCTGCAGAATGATGTCACCCGTTCTGTGGTCTACTTATTACTAGGGAAAAAGGGGGTTTGGTATTATTGAATGCACATGGCAATGAGATGTGGGGAAAGCCAAGAATCTATTAAAGTCTTTAATTGGAATATATTCTCAAAATTTAGATTGAACCTCATCCAGATTCTCATTATTAAAAATATGTGGCTCAGTTTCTTGATTTTAACAGGGATCATAAAAAGAAAAAAAAAAAATAAAAAGAAGAGAGGAGGGAAAAAGAAAATAAGAGTTCCAGTAACTCTGGATTTTGTTACTTTC